CAAAGCACAGCATCAGTCCGTCAGTTTCAGGTGTTCAGCACTGTGCCATGGATCTGTCTTACTATGGCCAAGGCATTTTTTCATCCTAGTTTTGTTGTGTCTTGGAGATTAGCCTGCTGAGCTTCTTGTGGCTGTTCCTGCTTTGATGTCTTGTCAAGCGAAAAACCCTGGTTCGGTACCTCTTAATTCTCTTTGTACTGGTATCATAGCAAAAGTTTTGTCTGTACCTCTAAAGTGTACACGGGGGATGGTTAGGGACAGTGTGACTGACTAGCTATTGTGCTCTCTGTGCTGTCTGTAGGTAGCTATGCGTTATGCCATTCGTAATATAGCCGGTCTTGTTTGTGCATCTTCCTGTTCCCTCTGGCTCTGACTTCAGTTCCTAGCAGTAGAGGCATAGCTTTTCAGCTGAGCAAAGTGCTACCAAGCATCTCGTTTGACATTCTGTCATTTTAGAGTCTTTTATGTATGTTTTCAGCTATTCTGAAACCTCCTTGCCTCTGCTAGATTAAGAGTAATGGAAGCTTGTGATGCCGCATCTGAACACATACTTCTTTGCAGCCTGTGTGAACTCTCATACTGTTACTTGGCCACTGTCAAGGCATTTCCCTTTGTCAGGTGCAGCAAGAAAAATAAATTCCATATAGATAATCAACAGTTTAGGAGGAATGCTCGATAATAAAACCACCTCAGAAAAGCATGTATCAGACTGCGGGACATGTACAGGCTTTTTATCACTCAACATAAAGGATATGTAGGCCTCTCCTTTTCAAAGAGCCTTAAGCTACTACTTTTTATGGGTGCGGTACTTGTAGACTGTACAGAACGTGCCTGGTGTGCTATGTGCCAGCCCTGTGCCTTGGATACTCTAGCGTGTCTAAAGAGCCAGCTGAAGTATGGTTAAGATGTGTTGAGGTTGCTGAAATGGCATTAAAAGGCACCTAAAACCTCCCCAAATTGCCTATGCTCTCATTACGGCCCATGGAAACCTCAGGTTCCATTCAGATCTGGCTGGGTTACCAGGTGTGTCACAGGCCTTGAAGAGATCCAGATCTCTTTGGTTTATCATGTGGAGACCAGGATATGTCACAGCACCTGGTATTATTTAGTCACGTAGGTTTAGCAATGCTTTTTGGTATGTGAACACACTGTTTGACATGCTAGCCACCCTGCAGTAACATAAGGCAAACAAAGCCTTCATCCAGCATGCCTTTAGTAGCCTAAGGACAAATCATGCTCTAACCTGCATTTACTGCTCTGACGAGGCTTCATTGAGAGTTTGGATCCCTGGCTTAAACTTAAGTGTCTAAATTCAATCTGTGTCCCAGTTTTAGATTCTTGTGATAGTCAAGAAAACACCATCTCAGCACTGAGTTTTAGCCGTAACTTTAATTCCAGTGCCTGGGACAATGCTGATAGCACCACAGCAGGTTGTACATCTTTATCTAACTTAAAATGAAAAATGTTGGATTTGATTTCAGACTGCTTGTCATCTTGGCAGCTGCTACGGTGTCCTTCTTTGAAAAAATGCTCTGATATTGTCATTTGCACAATTTCTCTGAGCTAGTGCTGCTGTTTCCCTCTTTATCTGTTCTGCGCACACTCTGCTGCTAATTCCAGAAAAGTGATCAAATACATTTGACTTATACATCTTTTTACTGATTCACTGCTATTAACCTACGTTTCGTAACAACATGGATATAGGCAGCACCTTATGATGTGCTTTTTGGGACTCTGTTGTAGAACTATGTATTTCAAGTCTCTTTTGTCTTTTGGTTCCTCTGGTTTGTCCTATTCTGTCAAAATCATGATTTACCACCTTCTTCTTGCAGTCTGTGGCCTGCAAAGAGCAATTTGCAGCTTCCAGCTTTACAGTGAAACGTTAACAGTGGGCTTGTCCCCAATCCCAATTGCAAACTTGTTCTTTATCTATAACATTCACAAGTATTGGCTCCTCAGCATTTAATTATTTACACTTATCCTGTCTGTTTCTGAAGAGCTTTTTAGCCTGAGCTTTAACTGCTGTGTTTTTCCACTCATTTTTTTCTTAGATTGTGCTATTCATTCAATTTGAATGTACCTTGCTACAGAATGCAAGCATGGCAAAGCAAACAGAAGCCTTTTGACAAGCTATAGAAAATCTGAACCGACCGTGACAGTTAGCTGGAACCCAGGAGCTATTAGTCCTCCTGAAGGGTGTAGACATGGTTCTGTAGCCAGGAAGTAGAGTAAACAATGAATGAAAATTGCCCTAATCACTAGCCAAAGCTGGAAAAAAAGTGGGGATTTTTCCACAGCAGAATTAATCTTGCTTTTGGTGCTGTTAAAATATATATCAGGGTAACATCATCAGACAAGCCTGATTTTTTTAAAAATGTCAACTACTCTCATTCATACTTAGCCTAAAGCCTTAAAATTAAAAACTGAGGGTTTTTTTTCTTCCTTTTTTAGCCCAAAATCCATATTTAGGAAGTAAATTTCTCCTTGTGTTTTGAAATGCAAATAAGACTGCTGAGAGCTTAAAAGACAAAGGATGTAATGTTAATAGTTAATAAAATAGTTAGTAAAATAGCAGTGTATTTCATTACTGCTTCTAATAAGATAATGGCTAAAAATATTTTCTCTGTTCCATAGAAAGTTGTAGCTGTATTTAATCAGTAAAAGCAGTTAAAATAAGAACAGATGATGTTCTTAAGAGTTTTTTAATAATAATATGCAATTATAATTCTAACTGAAGGACTATCTATTTGCATATTTAATTTAGTCATTAATTACTTATAGACTACAATGCACACTTTATACCAGTCTTCTTGGATGCTTTCATGTTTCAAAAGTTCATGCTTCAAATTACAAAAAGGACTATTAGGATTATCTGGTGCTTTCAAGGCCTTTCTATGTTTTTAAGTATTGCACCCAGCTTACCTGACCTCATTATAAGACTTCAGGTACTTTTAACATTTGTAAATACAAGTGACTACATGGAGAACTTCAACTTCCATTTGAAAAATAGCTTATATCTAGTTTGATATCTCTTCTACTTGTTGTTACCTACATTCAGTGATCAGTGACTTCAGCCTTTTTGGATAACCCATCTTGTGTACCTGAGCCTGCCATGGGAGGCCTACAATATGTGACAGGGCCATAGGAGTTACCTAAGTGGCCCATTTTTCAGGAGCATCGTGCAAGTGTTCGTTTAGTTTCTGTACACCTGTAATCATGTATAATGCATATGAGAATGTATAATGCAGAAAGGGAATAAAAAAGGTGAGAACTGTGGGGGTTTTGTATGTCTTTCACACTGATGAAAAAGATAAAGGTACAGTTTGATTTTGAGGGCCAGTCCTTACAGCTGACATTGTTGTGCCTTCTTTGTTAATGAGACAGCTTAAGGAATGCAGACTTGATAATTTTTTTCCTTCATGTATGCTACAAGAAAGGCTTACCCAAGGTGCAGGAAAAAAAAAAGAATTCCAAATGTTTCCCAGTTGTGAAGAGACTGGGGAAATATACCTGTGAGTGGTGTGTTTGCCTGTTCTATCTTTCCTAGGTGTCTGCCGTTTCCCTGTCATGGAGGCTGGGTGTTGGAACAGGGAGTTTAGCTGTTATTACATCCTTATTTATAGCATGATGAATATAGAATATTGATGATCTTATTAACTATATGGAATGTATTTAAGAATAACTTGGGAAAATTATTATTTTTTTTTTTTTAATTCCAGCGGGAAATTTGAGCCAACATTTGTATGCAATACAACAGATGAAAATAAAAGTGGATGGTATTTTTGTTAGTGACATTAGCAGAAAGGTCATGATGTGTAATGAAAAGCAGCATTAGGGTATCCCATTTTACATGTGTCATGAAACTATTCAATGGCATTAATATTTCTATTGTAGGACATATTAACTTGTATCTAAGAAGTGATACAGTGCTGTGCAGGGGTTGCTCATATCTTGGTCAAATATTTAGATTTTAATAAGACTGCCCCAGAAAGTGCAGTCAGCCTGCACTGATCCAGTTACAAGGATATATACTTTACAATATTTAGTATATAATAATGGTAAGATTTGAATAATGGAGAATGCAATGTTCCAGGTAGTTGTTATATGGAACTAGGTCACTTGTGCACACTCTTAAAGAGGCATAACATTATGTAAGAAATGTTTACAGATATCCTGAAAACAATCTATCACTTGGGAAGTTAAAATAAAATTGCTATTGTTATTCAGTGTGTTTGCTCTTAAGGAGAGTTATCTCTTCTTAAACACTATAAGTCTTTTAACAAAGGATATGAGTGTATTAAAGGCTATGATTTTTTTCACAAAGGTTTTAATCCTTTACCTTGTCCTTATAGCATCTTGATAAATTTGAAAGCAGAGGTCAAATTATTGTATGAGTTTTTAAATCCTATCTGTAGCATTATTTAAGCAAATAGAAATTCTTCTCTTGTGTCTAAGTAGACTATATCTATGAAAATACATTGTATAAATCAAGAAACAGTGACATCTCACCGTAATTCTGCAGAGTTTGCTTGCACTGTTGTGTTGATGAACATATCATATAACTGGTAGAGTGAAAGTCAAGTAGCTTCATAGTCTTTTGGAGGAGAATAAAAAGATTTTAATTTTTCTTCATACAGATTTTGCCAAGTCACTGATTCCAAGAATGTTGCAATTCCATTTGTATGAAGGAAGAAGCAAAAAGTGTAAAATAGTTTATATTTCTGGAAGCCCTACATAATCCTAAAACTTTTGCCTATCATTATTTTAGCACCTTCAAAAGAGACACAGGCTGTAAATCAGATTCACATTTCCATTTCTAACTGGAATTGACCCATGTTGGTTCAATTCTATGTCAAGACTCAGATCTAGCAGAAAAAGTGATTATGAAGGAAATGGGAAATCTCTCACAGCTAATAATAAATTTTGTCACTGAAGCAAGTTCTTTATAACTGCATTAACCAGACGTGTATAGCTTACAGTCTGTGTTCTTGTTTCCACAGTGCATACATTATAACAGACTTCATGGGCATGAGGAACGAAAATTTTATGAAGGTAGCTGCAGTTGGGACTTGGATGGGAGATTTTGTCACAGCATGGATGGTAAGAAACATAATATTACATTATAAAAGAAAAGGAATGTC